CTATTTGTGTAGGAATGTCTCAGATAGGTCCTCGTTTTCTAAAGTGTATCAAAATGGTCCTTAATTTTGAAAATTTATATCAATTGAGTCATTTCCGTTAAGTTGGCTGGACGACGTTAAAAAAATTGATGAGTGAGATGCTGAGATGACGAACGAACGCTCGTCCACCAGTGAACGAACGCTCGTCCACAAAAGAACGAACGCTCTTCGACCTCTTACCGCTGGACGACCGTTCGTTCCACACTGGACGACCGTTCATTCGGTGGTCGCCGAGCGTTCGTTCGCTGGTGGACGAGCGTTTGTTCGGTGGTGGACGAGCGTTCGTTCGTCATCTCAGCATCCCACTCATCAATTTTTTTAACGTCGTCCAACCAACTTAACGGAAAGGACTCAATTGATATAAATTTTCAAAATTAAGGACCATTTTGATACACTTTAGAAAACGATGACCTATCTGAGACATTCCTACACAAATAGGGACGTCAAAAAGGATTAAACCTAAATTATATTACAATTTAATACTACATTTTAAAATACATTCATTTTACTACATTATAACTTTTATAATTTTTAAATATTAATTTTATAAATTATTCATAATTTTTTTCTCTTTATAAACATCTCTACAATTAAATATAACATTACAAAATATCATTTTATAATACTTTTATAACTAGGGGCATTTTGGTCATCTTTATTTTCTACCAATTAAACTCATTTTTAAAATCTATCACATAAATCAAATCCTACGTTAATTCTCACAAACTTTACTTTCAAATCTACTCTCAATTAACCACAAATTCACTCAAAAAAACAAGTAATAAATTACCCTCAAATCCACTCAAATCCATTCAAATCATCTCTTCCAAATCATCTCCCAAAATACACCAAAATGAACACACCCTTACTCTCCTTTCTCACGGAGCATAGCATAGTACAAACACACACTTAAGTCTTTGTTTTCGCACCACAACCACCACGCCGCAAGCTTCTTCTTTTTCGCAGCCAAGGTACAGAAACACAAGACTATTGTTCTCGGATTTATTTTTTCCTTTGTTTGTTGTCTTGCGCGCACACCAGATTCTCATTTCCTCATTTTCCCATTTTAGTTTTTCCTTCTTTTTGTTGTGTTTCGAGTCGCGCATATGCATTCTTATTTCTCCAATTTTCGTTTCCCTGCTCAAATATCTCAGATATGGACATCTAATATATACATGATGCATCTATTGTTCCATCTTTAATTTTTAAAATAAATGCTAATCCTTATTGCTTCTAATAATTGAGTCTTCAAATATGGTACTTAGTTTTAACAGAGAAAAAGCTTTTATGTACGGTGAGCCAAGCACTTTCTGAAAATAAATGTTGTTAAAATGTATATTCACTGCCACAAAGAATGTTCGTAGAGCAAACAATCTCGCATATGGAAATCCGATTTATATATATATAATCGGATTTCCATTTGCAATACTAACAAATAATATTTTTTAATCTAAATTAGTTCTATTCATTTTAATAAATTTAGAAAAAATAATTATATCAATTAAAAAATATCTAATTTCATTATAGACTAATACAAAATCATACATAATATTTAAATTAATTATAAATTAATAAAATAATTAAAACAATTAAAACAATAATATAATTAAAATTTTATATATAACATTAAACATGGATCGAATATTGATATCCGATTTGTCACCATCGGATCTCCACGTTCGATTTCTATGCTTCGACTGTTCATATAAGAGTATTAAGTTTATTTTGTTTCAAAATCATTTTTATTAATTTTAATAAATTCATACAAATTATTTTGTATTAAAAAGAAATTATATAATACATTATAAACTCACTCATATGTAAAATAAAAAAATAATTTAAACTAATAAAGAAAGTATTAAAAATAAAAAAACTAATATAAGAAGTACATAAGTTAAACATACAAAACATTGTAAATTGTGTATCGGATATCCAAATCCGAATTTTCATAAATCGGATGTCCACGTCCGATCTCCATGTATCGGTTGTCCACATCTGATCCCTATGGCATCGACTCTCCAGAATTGATAAGTTCATTTCGATTTTTCATTTCTCACATTCAATAGCTTCACTTTCGATCATTTGATGCATGCAAACATATTAACCAAAATAAAATACCTCTCCATCAATATCACTGCAACCATGAAGTCTATTATGTGCACAAATTAAAAATAAATACTAACCTCTCTCTTAAGCAAAAACACAAAAAAGAATGATCTAACAATAGCATCCGAAATTGTACCAACACAAAGAGTCAAGTTGCGTGAATGCACCACTCCAAACTGCACTCAAACAATCATTCTCAAATATCTTTAGATAATACTCACTCACAAATATAACAACTAATATCAGATATGCAGAGTAAAAAACTCAAGAGATAAAGTATGATCAAAGAGCGGTAATTCAAAAATGCAGTAACGTAGAGTTTCTTTATAAAAATGAAATGAGATGCAGGAGATGTAGGGGTGCAGGGCTGTATAGGGAAGGAGTACATGTTTGGTAATTGGTGGAAAAATGGAGGTGGAGTAAATGGTGGCACAAAAATTTTAAATAATAAAAAAATTAAATTTTTAAACCACTTATTAATTAAGGATATTTTAAGAAAGTGTTTGATACAGAAAAGATTAAAATAAATAATACATAAGTTCAGAAAATAATAAAAATGTGCGAGAAGATGTAGAAGTATTGTTATCTTTTCTTCCTCCGTCTTAAAACACAGAAGAACTCATCCTCAATTTTTTTTTGCAGTGCTTCTCAACAATCAAAACGACGTCGTATAAATAATTGCCTGATTAAAAAAATGGGATGAATATTTTCTGTATCTCTATATAAAGGGAGACAGTGTATTTTGAATTTTGCGCGCTCAAATTCTGGTTGGCTTTGGGTTTCTGCTCATTTGCTGGTATACTGGGTGGTGCAGAATCTAGATAGCTGAAAATGGAGGATATGGACGAGATTGACGCGGTTCCTCAGGTCCACTTTTCATACAAATTTTCCCGAAAACTTTGATTTCCTATTACTGTTTGCTTACGGAAGAAGCAATGTTTTAGGTCAGTTAGTTCAAAACCTAAATTGCTCGTTCTCTATGGTTAGTGAGATTACTAAAATTTGTAGGTTAGAAATTTTATCTGATTAAAGTGCTTCAGTGAAGTTGAAGGTTGAATGGATTGTGTTAAAACATTCGGATGACTAACCTTTACACATATAGTAGCTTCAAACAAGTAACACTTCGATATTTGATTCTCCAATGACTTTCAACTGTTCACATTGTTTTGGCTAGATTTGTTATGTCAATAGAATTCAAGCTTAGTGCACGGTAGCGAGGGATCAACGGCAGGGGGCATGGCCTTGTCTGTGCCGGTTTATAGTGCTTCTGTCTTACCAGTTACTAGAAATGTCAAGTTTAGGAAAAATGAGTTTCAATTTCACGACGTGATTTCTATTAAACTAGAACTTGTGTTTATGTTGCGCTGTAGCAAGTCTTTTGGGTTTTATAATGCATTGCAAGGTGATACGGAGGTTGTTAGCATAACAAGAGTAGAGTAGATTAATATCTTGAAAAAATAAAGATAAAACAGCATGGGATAAGCTTACATATATACTCAAATTTGTGTTGAATAAATTTTCGAAATTTCAATGAGTTTTATGTAGGAAGTTTTACATGTTTCATATTATAAGAATCAGGTGAAAACATTAAATTTAATGGTTATCTGATAAACAAGTTTTGTAATATTGTAATTTAAATTGAACACTGTCATAGGATGATGTATCTCACCAATAACTTCAATTAAATTCAGAGTAAATTTTTTGCTACATAGTATAATTAGATTGATATTTTTAATATTTATTAACCTAGTGGGAAAAGGCTTTAATTTTTTTATATGTTAAATATTTAATACAAGAGCAATATCTTAACTGTATGGTCATATACAATTTCTTAGGATTATAAATTCAAGACTGCTCAGTTTCAACTGTTGGTTCCTGTAACCTTTTTACTTAAATGATAGATTTGCTTCACTGCAACCTCAGTCCTTGATTGGAATTTTTTACTTTTTACAGGTTTACATGGCTTGCATACTAAATGGTCATAGGTAAGCTTTTTAATAGCTCACGTATCTGTTGGCAATCTTGCATAAAATTGTTTGGAGCAAAACCACAGTGATAGTTTCCTAACACTGAGAATGAAATCGTGTGAAGAGTGTTGTTGCAGGAATGATATTTGAAATTAAGTGGTAAATTGTTTCAGAAACATTGGAAATTAAATATAATGTGTAATGTTGCAATTTTGACTGGCAAAAATGTTTACATAATTATGAAAGGTTTGTGCAGCTTAATGTGCTTGCTCCTGCTACATGTATTCCGTCTTATTTTTCCTTGTCAAATACAGAATAGGAATTTCTTATTATGATTCCACCCTTCGCCAACTTTATGTACTTGAAGTTTGGGATGATGGTGACAAAGGTTTTCCAGTTATTGATCTGGGTATGATTTCTTTCTTATCATTGTTGAATTTGAGTTCAATTTTAGGTAGTAATTTGCACAGCTTATTTGTGGTTTCTATTCTCCTTAAAAGGAGAAGTTGTGTTGTGCCAAACATAATTCTATAAATGAAAGGAGTTTTCTCCCCCTTTTAATAAAAACAGCTTAGAACAAAAATCTTAGTTACGTTAATTATAGGAGTTCTGTTTTCTCTTTAACCAGTTCAAATTTTAAGCCCGAGAACACCTCCAAAATGTTTTAAACCTTAAAATTTTAAAATTTCTAAGCAACTTTAAATTCAATTTTAAGAATTTTTCTTAAACTCTAACTATATTAGCTTTGATAATCTAAGAAAGTTAGGTCAAATGCAATCCTTGGTTTTGATGTTCCTTGTTGGTGCCAATGTTGAATCAAAGCTGAAACTTGACACTCAGCACAGATATGTTCTCTTCTGTAGAAGTTTCAATATTGTGCTTCATATACCCCTATTGACTCTAAGGTGAATACTTGTTTTACTTGTTATGAGTTCTAGTAAATGAATGTCTTTAGATATGAATATCTGGCGCAGTGAAATATCAAGCCAACCCTTTGGTTATTTACACAAGCACTAAAAGTGAAGAATCCTTCTTGTCTGCTCTGCAACAAAAGGGTAGGATGCCCTTAATGTGATTAAGCTAGAAAGACTAGTATTTGGACCCTTTACCCATTGAAGTTACGCAGATGGAGTAGCTGAGTATCCTGCAGTAAAGCTTGTTAAAAGTTCAATATTCAGCTACGAGCAAGCATGGCATAGGTATTACATCTGCTAAGATCTTAAAGAGAATTTTAAGTTGAATAATTTTGCAGTGTACATGATGATATATTGAATATTTGAATTGTTGATGGAGAGATTGTTTTGTGTGGACTTTCAGATTCTCTATTTGAATTGTTTTCATTGAATGCTTAAAACTTATCCTATCTATTAACACATCCACACACAAAAGTAGATGTTGATTAAGAACTTACCTTCGCTTTGAACTTGGGGTATTAGGGTCATTTTTTCTCACCACCCAATTTCCATCATTGCCTCTCTCTTTAATCTTGAAAAGTTTATATTTTTTTGACTGTTGTGCTTCGGTGAAAGGATTGAGCAAACGTGTTGGTACTTTACTTTACCTTTTAATTGTTCAATTTAGCATGCCCAATTTTTTTTTTTTTTTGTGGAGAAGGCTATTGTATGACAACTTTTATTTGGTGATTTGTAAACTGCTTTATATAAAATAAAATAAAAGTGTGCTGCAATTTTAGTATTCTTTCACTTCTTCTACTTCAAGAATCCTGATTTTACAGATTAATTTACCTGCGAGTGGCGGGGATGGATGATGGATTAAATGTGAAGGAGAGGATTTACTATGTGAGTTTGAAACCACCCACCATTGTCCTAGTATCTTAGGATTATAAATGCACATCCTTAAATTAGTAATAGAATACTTATTTGTTATAGATTAATTTTTGTGTATATTATAACAAGTTTGTTTGGAAAAATCTTTTGTCCTTTCAGTCATTATTGTTGTTGTAATACTCTAATAATTTTATCTGCATTCCCCTCTTTCTCCCCCCTGTTACATCTGCAGCTGAGTTCCATGATGGACATGGGAAGTGAAGTACAGGTTCGTGCTAGTGGTGGTCTTCTTGCAATACTAGAGAGTGAAAGGATTGTAGATACTCTTGAACAGAAAGAATCTGGAAATACATCAATTTCAATTGATTCTGTTGCAGAAATTTCATTGTATCCTTGAACTTATTTTGCTCAGTGTTTATAAGCAAAAACGTTCTTTCTTGTGTTGCTTGAAACTTGAAAGGAGAAAACGTGAGTTCAAAGGTTGTCCTTTATCATGGTCATACAGAAATAACTTTCTCAAACTTGATGCAGCAGCTCATGAAGCATTACAAATATTCCAAATAGACAAGCACCCAAGCCATATGGGAATTGGTAGAGCAAAAGAAGGGTAATTATTTACTTAATCTTAAATATTCTACTTAAAAATATGTAAATATCTAAGGCACTGTCTTAATTTCAGGTTTTCAGTATTTGGAATGATGAATAAGGTTTGTTGAGTTGTTTGAATAGTGTGTGCCAATTTCGTGTCACATAGGATTAATTGTTTGTCCTGTATGCAGTGTGTGACTCCGATGGGTAGACGTCTTTTGAGGTAACACGATTAAAAAATAGTGAGAATGTGAACGTACCTATCTCTTAAGCTTCAGAACTTGTGGCGACATTTTTCTCACATATTTTCCCCATTTCAGAAATTGGTTCTTAAGGCCTGTTCTTGATCTTGAAGTTCTGAACTACCGTTTAAATTCTGTATCCTTCTATAGTCGAGTATATATGGTCTAATTAGGCTTTACTAACCTGTATAATTCAAATTTCAGGTGGATAGAAAATTTTACTTTATTTAATTATAGTCCCTTTTGAGGTGGAATAATACATATCTTCAACAAACTAGTCATATAATTATGAAAACTGATGTTTTTCTTTGATGGTAAGTAGATATCTTTTTTTCTATGCTCAGAAGAAATTGTTGCTTCATTACGGGAAACCTTGAAATCCGTGAAGGATATACCCCACTTGCTGAAGGTATGAGGTGTCTCTTCCTCCCTCATCCCTGTTTGTAATAAATTTGTTTTTCTTGTTCTTCTGCTCATCTGACTGAATGCTCATTGTCTATTCTTGAAATTCCCTTTTATAGATTATGTTTGTTCGGGCCAAATAAACAATTAAAAAGAGCATGATGTGTGCTCATTAAAATTTTACATGATTTTAACTCTCGATCAAAAATATTGAACATTATTCATTGTTGAAACTTGATATTTTTAACTATCACATATTTGAAAATCATTTTTTATCTTGTGAGCATACAATACTATTATTTTTGAAGATACGTCAGTCTGTTTTAGTGCAATTATGAATGTGATGTTTCTTTTCGAAGCAAAAGCCTGTACTATTTGCATACTGACGCCTTTTGAAGATTTAATCAATCATTAAAGAAATTTGACTCTCCAAGCTCTACGTGCACAAGCTCTGATTGGGCAGCTCTTCTCAAGGTAAAATTCTTTTATTCTTTTCTAGTTTCTAATAGTCATATTTTCTTGTGCTGTAATTGGTTAGAATTCACGTCTGCTTCTACCTATTAAAAGAAATTTATATTGTTCTGTTCTTTGAATTTAGTTTTACCTGACCCTAGTGGCCTTTAAAAAATTGTTAATTTTTCTTTGTATATTACAAGTTAGCAAAAATCAAAGGCAACAAAAATTCTCCTCTTCCCTTCTCGATTTGTTGCTATATTCTATTTGTCTTTTCTTGTCACGGATTAAAGGCGAAGAAGTCTTGCTGCATGAAAATTGATAAATGACAAGATCAAAATACTTTTGTGAGTAAGGGGAGGTAATGTTGTGCCCGTGTTAGTTTTTGTTGTTGAAGAGGTGGGCAAAATGTTGAACTAGTTAAATGATAAGAAGTCTGGTAAATGGTTGGTCAATGCATAAAATTGGCAATAGCTTTCATCATGTTTGAATAGTAGTAATTCAAATAGACAAGGACGAAACCAAATGGAATGGAATAAAGTTAACAATATGTTCTTTATAGTTTTATAATGGTCTGGAATAAAAAAAATAGTTCTGTCTCATACATCTCAAAATTGGAGTGGAGGTTAATAGAAGTATTGAATGGAAATGATGTAAATTGGAATGTATTTCATCATGTTCTGTTTTATTCCATCGCATTTTAAACAATCTAATCAATGGAGCCAGGTATTCCATTTCGTTTTGCTCCAATCTATTGTTTTTCATATCTCTTACAATTTGGACTTAAGGCCTAGCACAATCGTATTACGTCAGTTTACAAAGTGAAGATTGCCCAAGTTTTATAAGTCACGTCTCTTGGTGATGTTAAGCTAAACGTGTCCCCTTTAATGCTGCTTCAATTAAGGCAGCTCAAAGATGTAGTTATGATGGGTCAAGGATGACTATAACTAACTTGGTTTTTCAACGCTACTAATCCAAACATAGCCTAACTTCTATTTCCACATCTCCAGGATGCTTCATCCTAGATTATTATGCGTTTTGAAAAAATATATATAGTTAATTGTATATTTAAAATAATTTGGATGGGAACTTTTTTTGTAGTTTTATGGATTGTCCATTATTTTCGTTACGATATAACTGTATTTTAAGATGTTGCAGTTCATGTGCATAAAAATATAGCTAAGGAAAAACAAACGAATATCAGGGTTTTTCTTTCCATATTGGGCTCTGTTTATTTAAGAAATCCATTTATACGAGTTGTGGAAAATGGAAAGGATACAATTTAATATACTTTCCTTTACAATCGAAGTTCAGTTTTGGGACTTCAGCACTGATTTTATGTTCATATAATTTTTAGAGTATTTGTGCGCTGTTGCATGTAAACAAGATTTTTGAAGTTGGATTTTCCGAAGACCTTCGTGAAGAATTGAAGTATTTAAACTTGGACATTGTCGAGAAGGTATTGCATATATGCTCTATTCGAGTGCACTCGTTTACACTATAGCTTAAATGGTTTTACTTTTGATAAGTAACATTACTGCAGGCTAGCTCATGCATAACGTCAGAACTTGGTTATGTTTATGAACTGGTAAGTTTTATTTGTTTCTCTCCTATTAATTATGAGAAAGACTAGAAAGAGAAATGGCTTATAATGTGCTTTGATGTTTTAAAGCATCTGATTTTCGGAACTGGTAGAGTGAGGGGAACCATCTCAAGATCAATTCAATCGTGAGATTTATTTAATTGGTTTGAATAACAGCGATAACAGTTTTCCCTTTGTTTTGGATTATGGCTGGTGCAGGTAATTGGCGTTATTGATTTAAATAGAACTAAAGAGAAAGGTTATGCGACGGTTGTGAAGGAAGGGTTTCTGTGACGAGGTTAAACCCAATGTTCTTGTTCCTTTTCTTCGGCTGTGTGAATGTAATGAATTTTGATAGTATGTATGTGCCAATAAACTGTCTTCGGTACTTTGTAGTTAGATGAGCTGAGGCAAATATATGAGGAACTGCCGGAATTTCTGGAAGAGGTCGCTTTTTGTGTAAATTTTTAATTGATCAGAAAAATTACACACACACACACATATAATTTTATTTTTTTTTCTTCTCGTCATGATACATATTTTTTGCAGGTTTCATCCTTGGAATTGGCTCAACATCCCGGTCTATGCAAGGACAAGGGTTCTTGCATGTTTATATACAGCAAATAGGTAGTTCTGACTCTTGATTTACACTTGTATCCATAAAATGTGGGTAATGGTGTTGGGATAAACTTAAATTTTAGAGTTTTATTAATAATTTTGTTTAAATCTTATTTTATTAGTTTTGGGTTTAGTAAAGTTTGATTTTGATAGAGATAAAATAGGGATAGGTAATTATGATTTTTTGTTTATTTAGGTACAATATTATTTTATGATAAATTAAGTAGATTTTATTTTTAAGATAATTGATATTTTATGTTCAGTTTTTATTTTTATTCTCATAATATTGTCAATGTCACATCTATTTAAAGTTCTTCGGTTATCAATGAATAATAGACTCAATTTTAGCAAAATATCTGAGTGTGTGTAAGGTACATTTAATTAAAGGCTGTAAACATTGTTCGTTCTTGTAAATATGATTATGTTTCGTTTCAATCCTTCCATTTTTATTTTTTATTTTATTTATCATGATGACTGGGTTTGTCATGGATTCAAATATGAAATAATTTCTTTACATATGTAAAGATTAAGTTATGTACAATAACCTTTTCTTAAGCAAGATGAAAAGAAAAATAGAAGAGAAAGCAATGGGAGACACGGAACGTAGAAGTAGCAAAATCAGAGAATGAATGACAGAAAGAATTAGGAACAAACAAACATGCAGCGCCTAAGATGAAGGTCCTGTGGCCAGCAAACTGATCTGTTAACGAAAAATGCTCTTTTTAAACTGATCTGCCTTGGACTACCATGTGGATGTTTTCTTGATGCTTGCTATCAAGGGAGAAATAAATAAAAAAATTCACTAAATCAAGATGTATGTTTACAAATAAGAACGGGCTAAATATAATAGTAATGTGCTGACAAATTGAATAGAAAAGGTATATAATATCTATAAATCTAATTATATTCAATTCTAATATCCTCTCAGGTTGGAGAATAGATGTTTATGATTCTAGCTTGTTATGAACTGATTGAAGATAGTAGGAGGACAACCTTGTGATATATATAAGCTATTTGATGCTTGGTTTTGACATGATGAGGAGTGATAGTTGCTTTTAAACAAGCTCACTCTTAAAAAATGAACTTTAAATCTAATTCAAGGAAATACCCTTGTGGATTTGGCAATTTCCAATCTTAAAGAATTATTTGAGAGAACTAAGGATCTTTAGTTTGAACAGGGAACTTGTTACCAACTGATATTGTTAACAAAGAAGAATTAGGTCCCACTTGCATCCACATAAACCATAAAATGACCATTGCAGAACCAAAACTATAAGTGAATAAAGAGTAGTCATTTTTGGACTGTAAAACCATGTCACAGTAATGTTGAGGAGAACCTTATAGAACCATTGTCTAGAGGCTTGCATAAGTCTCTTATAGACTTATTTAACTTGCAAACTAATCCTTTTGTTGTTGTTTTTAACCTTAGGGAATATCTATGAGTACTTCCTCAAATAACTCACCCTTTAAGAAGGCATTGTTAGCATCTAGCTACTGTAGGCTCCATTTTTGCAGCACCAAGAGTGTATGAGAAATCAATTCCAGTTTGCTCTGTGTTGGCTTTGACTTTCAGTTGAGATTTGTATTTATCGATTGAACCATAATTTGAAAAGCCATTTGCATCCTATGCAATATTGCCCTTCAAGTAAAGGGACTAAAGACCAAATGTCATATCTTCAAAAGCGTTAATCCTTAGCCATATTGGATTGCATCCACCTTCTTGGTAGGGTACTACTTGATGATAGAACTGAAGTTCATAAGTAGAGGAAAAGGTTTTGTAATTTGGACTCAGTTTGTCTAAAGAATAAAAGTTTTGAATGGGATGAGTGTGTAAGGTGCTAGAACACACATAGTTAGGCAAATAAAAGGGTTTCTTAAACACTCTTGATGATCTCTGAACAAATGCTTCAAGTCCAGCAGGACTAGACATTGATATTTCGTATGTACTACGGGCTCATTATAATATATAGATATTGATGCATCATCAATGTCTAATTATATTTGATTCTAATACTTGCATCAACCATTTGTCACCACGAGGCATCCTCAACTCCTAGTAATTTGCTGGATTTCTGCCACAACGTGCCAGGGTGGCACTGTCCTGCCATTTTGGCCTGTTTTGGAAAACATTAGTTCAAATTTTTCATTGCATAATTTTTCGGCTACTAAACAACACTGGATATCTTATTATTGAAACAATCCATATCTTGTTTTTTGTCTACTGTAGGTTATTTAATGTGTATCTTTGAAGAAAAACCTGAAGAAACCTCTCTGGAGACACTTGTAGATTGGGAATACGCAGTATGTTGGTGATTACACTCAGTCAAATGATTTACATAATTATCATCTTATATTTCATGGTAGTCATTTCAAGTACAGTTTTGTGACACAGATGGAGAGACAAAAAGATACTTTTATCGTACGCCAAAGACACGAGAATTGGATAGTCTGCTTGGTGATATCCATCATAAAATTCTAGGTATTTTAAGCATATATTTGATAGTTCCCTGATTTTTATTTATTTGTTTTTGAAGTAATTTGCCGAGCCTTTGCCCAGACTGCTAACATTGCTCTAATCTTGAAATGAAAAAACTCTCAATGTGAGAAATTAAATTTTAATAAAATTATGGAATTCCTTGACACATCTTATGTGGTGAGACTCTTACCGTAAGATCTGAGACGTAATAGATAATATTAAGTTTACCTTCAAAGTTAAACGCTTGGTCTCTGGTGCAATCTTACATATTTGAGTTCTTTTATTCAAGATATGGAGAGGGCAATCACCAGAGATTTGTTTTCGCGTATATTGCTGTTCCAAACCCTTTTGATAAAGGTGGCAACTTTTGCAGCTGAACTGGATTGGTAAGATAAATTGTCATTATAATAACTGGTGCTTGCTCGGACATTTTTTTTATCATTAATAATTTTGTTTCAGCTTTCTGTCAATGGCATTGGTTGCACGGCAGAACAACTACGTCAGGCCTTCATTGACTGAAGAAAATTTGCTTGATATAAAAAATGGAAGGTTCAGATCATCTGGTTATAAGAACCTAATGGAAAATCATTTATATGGTTAATGATAAAATCTGGCTTTGTTTGTAGGCATGTTTTGCAGGAAATGACGGTAGACACATTTATTCCTAATGACACTAAGATTCTTCATGATGGTAAATAGCTGTAGACATACATAACTAATATTAGCTAACTTATATTATTGAAGTACATTTTGATCAAATTATTTTGTTATTAATCCCTCTTCCATTGCTCTTTACGTTAGGAAGAATAAATATCATCACTGGTCCTAATTTTTCTGGAAAAAGTATCTATATAAAGCAGGTCAGCTATTAGTTCTTTATCTTTCTGGGACATGTATTCCGCAGCATATTGATTTTACTGTTCTAAAATAGCAACTATGTCGAAAAGGTCATTCTATAACCTTAACTTCTAATCTCCAAATGAAAGAATTTTCGTTAACTTCTAGTCTCTGTATGAAAAAAAGTGTTGCGGGGAGTTATTAGTAGTACGTGTATATCGAGTGTATATCGAGTTATCAACTTCTGGTTGTTAATATTCATCTCGTCTGAAAATCTAAACACTACAATTGTTGATATTCATCTGATCTTTTTTGATTTGGGTTTTGCATATTTTAATTTTCGTGGCATTCACTCAATTTTTTTTTGTAATTCAATTGAAGAAATAATTTAGTTAAAATGTATTTTTGGGATAACAATTACTTAATAGCATTATTATTATTTAATAACATTATTATATAAGTTGATGAATACAATGACATATACATGACAACACAATTTAATAAAATTAATTTGCGCCATATTTTATTATTACTAAAAAAATAACATTTTTTAATATCTTATTTTTTGTAGGATTATCTCAAAGTAAAATGAGTGACCATAAATAAAAACAAAATCTTAACAGTTTTATTGTTTCATGTGATGAGCTTGTGCTTATCCACCGTTCCGGATTCAAGGATTTTAATTGAGGGACTGTGTTGAAGACCAAAAAAATATTGGCTTCGAATTTACTGCTCTTCAAGTAGTTGATTACTTAACATACGGTCTAACGTCTGGCTATACTACATGATGTTACTGAACTTGCTCGTAGTTGCTCTGCTATTTATAAACTAATGAGAAGTATTTTGCAGATTGCTATAATTGTTTTTCTCTCCCACATTGGTAGTTTTGTGCCCGCCGATGCAGCAACTGTGGGTCTAACAGATAGGTATAATTTTCTCACGAATCACGTCCCTTATGAAACAAGAGTTACATTGTTGAATGCTTATCGTTTTTATTTACTATTTTTTTGGGGGAGGTGTTTTAGAATATTTTGTGCAACGGGAAGCAGGCTTATGACAGCTGAACAATCGACATTTATGATTGATCTACATCAAGTAGGGATGATGCTCAGGTATTCCAAGAAAAGGGCTAATAAGGTCATCTCCATCACATTTAATATAGAACGGTTAACCCCCTTGTATTTGGATGGACTATGGTGCAGGATGCTACTATCTTCCATCACTCGTTTGTCTTAGTTAATCATTTGGTTTCTATAGAAGAGTTAACTTTTCATTTTAACCCCCACCTAAAATATTTTAACATCTATACTAACAAATTTTTTATATTTTAGTTCTTATATCTATATCATGTGGTGGTTTACACACTGCCAAAAACCTAACCAACAGGGACTAAAATATAGAAAAACTGAGGGACTAAAACGTAGAATTTTTGGGTACAATGATCGAACATTTTATATCAACAATTAAATAAGCGGAGGGTTGCAAGATAATTTGCATTTTAATAAAAGGGAAAATGTTTGTGTATATGTATATTTTTTTTAATGCCTAGAAAATCTACAGGCATGCTACTTCGCAATCTTTGTGTTTGGTGGATGAATTTGGTAAAGGTACTCTGAAAGAAGGTCCGTTTCTCCAATGTTTAATGTCTAAAAATCATAAATTTATGGAATGTGTGTGCGTATTGCTGAGGCTACTTTTTGGCTTAAATTTTTAATCTTCCTTTCAGATGGCATTGGTCTACTTGCTGGAACCATAAATCACTTTGTCACGTGTCATGAACCTCCAAAGGTTTAACTTCTTTTCTTGAAATTATATAATGTGTGTATTAATTCAACTTTTCAGGAATTATAATATCATTTTCTGAGCAGCATGCTGCACAGCATTTTCTTGTGATGAACATCTTTATCTATAATCTTTTAAATGTTTCTTTACAAGTCTGTTTCTGTTATTTGGCTCAATTATATATTTGTACCTTATCTGTAGTTTTTTTTATAATTATATTACGTAAGTTTTTTTTTAGTACATTTAATTATATTTTTTTATTTTTTGCATATTTTGCCCATCATTATATACTTACATGCTGATTTGTCACAAAAAAAAAATGTTAAAAAATGAAAAAAGAGTCATTGCTTTGTTGCATTTTTTCCCGCTAAAAGTAGCAATCCTTATGAACCTATTCTACCATCTTACAATCTTTTATAATAAATTTTAATTGACTAATTTAATTTAATATTTTTATTAAAAATGGTTGCCAAAAAGCGGAAGTCAAAGTTTTTTGTTTTGGCAAAATGAAGTCGTTTTTGTGAAGATAAACTTAAATGAACTAAACTTTAGTAATTAATGAATTAGTAATTGAAGTCTTATAAGGTAGTTAATGTATTTGTCATTGTAGACTTATGGATAGTTAATGGGTTAGTCGTTTATAATAGTTGTTTATAGCCATTTTTGTCTGTTTTGGGTACATCAGTCATTTGTATTGTTTATTGTATGAAAACAACAACAACAACAAGTGAATAAAGTTTTTTTACAAAGGAAGTTTGTTGTCTACAAAGTGGTATCAAGAGTCTGTAGTGTCTGAGTGAGAAAAAAGACAACAAGAGAGAGCTTGAGGCTTTGAACGTTTGAAAAAAAAAGAGTGAGATAACCAGTCTTACAAATAATATGCCCATGTCCAAGTTGACAAAGGTAGTCAACTATGGCAAATGGAGTCTTAAAATAAAGAGTCTTAGCTCCCAAGAAAATTGAGAGGTGGTCGAAGATGGTTTCCAACACCACGAATTGGTCAAATGTCCAGTTGAAAGCGTTCAAAGAAGTGTGTGTGAAGGACATGGAAATTTTGTACATATTGTACCAAGTTGTGGACGACTCCAGCTTTGAAAAGATTGCAAGTGTAAGATCTTCAAAAGAAGTATGGGATATATTGGAGAAGACATATAAAGGGAATGAAAGAGTCAAGCAAGTCCGACTTCAAACACTCAAGGAGAGTTAGAGAGCATGAAGATTGAAGATGAAAGAGGCTGAAGGAGTAGTCGTGTAGGTAACTCAGGTTGAAACCTGGCTAATCAACTTAGTAGAAAAGATTTTGAGTCCATTGACCAATGACTTGGAGAATGCGGTGTTCACGATTGAAGAGTCAAAGGATTTATCAATATTCACGATTGAATAGCTTGCTAGATCTCTTGAAGCACATGAGCAATGAAAGAAGATGTGAGATCCACTTAATTAACTACTACAAATGAAGGGAGAGACTCAAAACACTCCAGACATAGGACTATACCAAGGAGGTAGAGGAAGCAATCATGGTGGTAAAAGCCAAGGACAAGAAGAGGGGAAAGAGCAGTCCAGCCAACTCAAATGTGGAGTTCTTTAAGTGTGGCAAGTATGACCATTATGCAAATGAGCGTTACTCAAACAAGTGTTTTAGTTGCGGTAAGGTCGAGCATTTTGTAAAAGATTGTCTATCTGAAAATAAGAAAGAAGAGACTATCAATCTCACAGAAGAAGTTAAAGAAGTGACATTGTTGATGATGGCGCGTAGCTTGAGGGCCAAGCACAAGCGAGTGGAGCACTTGACAAGAA